ATATACATCTAGGTAAGGTTTATCTGAGAAGGTGTTTTATATTTAACCTCTTCCATATGTTAAAATTTCAACTGCTTCTGAATGTATTCATCAGAGGTGTACTGTAAACAAAACACAGTCTGATAACATGTCTGATGTTAAAGAGGGCCTTCTGACTCATTTAAACTAACCTTGTTAAATTGGCATAAAGACAAATGGGGCATAGTTTTCATTTTGTCATAGTTAATGGGGTGAATTTTTGAAATTAACCCATGAAAAATTCTCTGTACACATTTATAACCCCTGGGGTCTTAGATCTTTTTATAGGCTGTCTTATACACTTCTAAGATGGGGAGAGGATTACCATGGGAAATGGAATGGCTATTACACTCTAGTTTAGCAGAGCTAGAAGTGGCCTGGCATTCCTCTCAGTGCAAGTTCCTGGATGTCCCCTGGTACCTACCACTTGGGTTGGCTGCAGTTACATATAGGTACATAGAATGCTTTCCCTGACCTTGCTTTCCACTTGAAATTCTACAGCCACCTGACTGTGTCTTTTACAAAAGATAATTTTTATCTTATGTGCCTGCTTGTATTTAAGTGCGCCCATATCATGCAATGCATGTGGAAGTCAGAAGAGGGCACCGGAACCCTGGAACTAATGGATAGTTGTTAGCCACCCTGTGGGTGCTGGGAGCCAAATCTAGGTCATCTGCAAGAGCAGCCATCTGTCCAGCCCTGTGGCGTGTCTTTTAGCTGTTCATTCTCCACTCATCCCACCTTGTGGATTTATTATGTATCATTCCAGCATCAAGTCTGTTTTATTGAAACTCTACAAATTTAGTGTGATGGTAAAGTGTTTATATCACAGTGATTTCCAGACACAACAGGCCAGTTGCACATGTGAATTTACAGCAGTTTTGACAGCATCTGCAAGATCTGTGCAATCCCAAGCCTGAGAGAAGCCTAGAATGGAGGGGAGAGGTGAACATCTAGTCCCAGCCCTAGCTGAGGAATTATTGTCAACTGACAGCTACTGGGAGAGGGAGAATCAGTGATTCTGGGTAGGTTCACCATGCTCCAGGGGATGAACTTACACCCAAGAGTGTTCACAGAACAGGGATTGGACTCAGTGTGCCTTTAAAAAATACAGAGAGAAGACAGGAAGCAGGCAGCAGGGTAAGGTGCTGGAGGTAGATCTGAGAAGAGATGCAGGAAGGGTTTTAATATGATCAAAATACATTGTATGACATTCCCAAAGAATCAAAAAAATATTGTTGAAATAATGCTTCTTCCAATCTTCCAAGAGGATGAGCACACAAACAAACTTGGTGTGCTTCCCATCTCCTTATTGATAAATTTGTGAGTTGGGCAGTTTGGCTGAGCAGCAGAATTAAGCCCCACCACCTTATAGTGTGTGCTGGATAGCTTCAGTGTCAACTTGAAACACCTGGGTTGAGGGAGCCTCAATCAGGGAATTGCCTCTATTGGACTGGCCTGTGGCCATGTCTGAGGGGCATCTTCTTGATGAGTGATGTGGGAGGGCCCAGCCCACTGTGGGTGGTGCCACCCCTGGGCAGGTGGGCCTGTGTTGCATAAGAAAGCAGGCTGAGCAGGGGCCAAGGGAGCAAGCCAGTAAGCAGCGTTCCTCCATGGCCTGTGCTCCAGCTCCTGCCTCCAGGTTCCTGCCCTGAGTTCCTACCTTGGGCTCCCTGATGAACTGCACGTGACCTGGGAGATGTAAGACAAATAAACCCTTTCCTCCCCAAGTTGGTACTGGTCAGAGTGTTTTGTCACAGCAGTGAAGAAACAAACTAAGACATAGTGTATACCTAATTCAGGGTCTCATGTGACCCTAATTTTGTCTTTATTTACATTTAATCCCTACTCTGTGTCAGAATAACAAAGTGATGCATGCTATATTTGTGTTCATTCATCGGTGTGCTTCAAGAGCACTGCCATTTGTGTTTGGTAGACTTTGAATAACTCTAATACTTAACCATGATATTTTAAGTGTACTAGACATTCTCATGAAGAACAAAGTTATGAGGCTTTTGTTTTGTTTTGTTGCAGAAGTTGCTCTTCGATCTTTTCCTCTGATTTGAACATGACAGATCAAAGGCATCTGAACAAGTCTGAACCTGCTAGGTAACTTTGGAATATTTACTCACAAATAGCCTTCCTATCATGGAAAAGCTTTAAAATCATAATTTTGTGTACAACTTTATAGTTATCTATTCTTCTGAAGTAGTCTCATTACATGTATGAGGAAGCTGACCTATACCACTTAAAGAAATTTATTGAGGGGCTGGAGAGATGGCTCAGCACTTAAGAACACTGGTTGTTCTTGCAGAAGACCTGGGTTTGAATCCCAGCACCCACATGGCAGCTAACAACTGTCTGTAACTCCAGTTCCAGGGGATCCAACAGCCTCTTCTATCCTCTGCGGGCATTGCACGAGACGGGTTGTCCTAATTTGTTTCTTCATTGCTGTGACAAAACACTCTGACCAGTACCAACTTGGGAAGGAAAGGGTTTATTTGTCTTACATCTCCCAGGTCACGTGCAGTTCATCAGGGAGCCCAAGGTAGGAACTCAGGGCAGGAACCTGGAAGCAGGAGCTGGAGCACAGGCCATGGAGGAACGCTGCTTACTGGCTTGCTCCCTTGGCCCCTGCTCAGCCTGCTTTCTTATGCAACACAGGCCCACCTGCCCAGGGGTGGCACCACCCACAGTGGGCTGGGCCCTCCCACATCACGCGTCAAGAAGATGCCCTTCAGACTTGGCCACAGGCCAGTCCAATAGAGGCAATTCCCCGATTGAGGCTCCCTCAACCCAGGTGTGTAAAGTTGACACTAAAGCTATCCAGTACAGGAGTGCACTTACCTACACGCAGGCAATTCACGCAGACACACAAAATAAAAATAATAAAATAAAATATTTTTAAAAATAAATTACTGAAACTCATATTCCATTAACTTAGCAAAACAAAAATTTACATCCAGACTGTCTTCAAAACTCCACTGTGCAATATTGTCAAGAACTGAAAACTGAAATCTAAATTTTAGTATTGTGAACCACAAAGTCCACACTTTTTATTAATTGGATCCTTGTGATATGCGATGGGTTCTGTTCAATTAAAAAAGCATCCACTAAGTGAGACCGTCATGTAGTTAAAAATTCAAAGTATAGTTGGGTATAACTGATAGACACCTGTAATCGAAATATCACAAGTTCATGGTTAAAGCCTGGGCTACTTATGAAACCCTGTCTCAATAATCAGCTCAACAATAAAAATATTGAAAGGATACAAAAATATACACAATGAAGAGTTTTCTTTCTGTTTTTGTCTCTCAACCATCGAGTCGCACTTACTGGAGACAGTCACTGCCATATGGTCTTCCAGAAATACTACGAGCCTGTGCAGATAAATACATACTCCACCTTTTACACAGATCTAAGTATACTATACATTCTGAAATTTTCCATTGTGCAAGGTATATTTTCAAGATTGTAATAACCCAGAGTACTTTTCTACCTTTTCATCATTGTATAGATTTCATTGAATGTATTTGGATATATCAGTTTTTTCCAGTATTTTGCTATAGGCAGTGCTAAACAATTATGCACATAGACTTGAAGATTTATTTTATTTAGAATACTATTCATAGATGAGTCAAGGGAAATGTATATTTAAATTTCAGTAGAGTCCTCAAGTTGCCCTTTGTAGAGGCTGTACCAATTTATATTCCTACCAGCAATGTACTGAGAGTGTCTATTTCACACTAATGTCAACAAAACAAATGTATCCTCTCAAACTTTTTTATCCTTCCCAGTATAGTAGGTAAAATATTATTTTAGGTTACTTTAAAATTAATAAGCTTTATTTTTAGAATAGTTTTAGATTTATATAAAAGTTTCATATTATACTGTTCCATATAGCTCCACTTAGCTGCCATTTACTGTTAACATCTTACATAATACAGAACATTTGTCAAATCTAATGTAGCTTATTATTAAATAAGATACATTGTTCATTTATGGTTCCTTAGTTTTTACTTAGTGTCCTTTTTCTGTCCTGAGAATACATTTAGAAATTATGTTTGATTTTTTTCATATTGATTGTGACCCATTCTCAGATTTTTCTTGTATTTGATAACCTTGATAATTTGGAGGAGTACTGGTAGTCAGTGCAATTTGTTTTATTTTGTTTTGTTTTGAGAGCTGATCTGACTATTTAGACCTGGCTGGTTTGGATTTATGTATGTACCTTGAAATTTCCTTCTTGTAAATTAACACCTTTCTTTTCATATGCTTATGGACATTTGCATTTACTTTTTTTGGCAGTTAAGAACCCATGCTTTTGTTGTTCTTGTTGCTTTTGAGATAGTCTCATGTAGCCCAAGCTGGCCTGCAATTCACTGTATAAACTAGTAAGTAGGGGTTAAATGCATGCACCACTATATCTAGTTTATATGGTACTGAGAATCGACCCCAAGGCTTTGTGCATGCTAGGTAAGCACTCTACCAACTGAACTACATCTCTAGGCAAAGAACCCATGATTTTAACCACTTCACTACACCTCACTCTTTATTCACTATATTATCAATAAGACATTCAAAGACCTGAATACATACTGATTCTGACTTTGAATTAAGGAAAGTTTGAAGAATCTGTTACAGATAAAAGAATCATTAGTGCAAGCGATGTGGTCACAGCAGAGGCTTGACTGGAAACAGCAGACGGGTCAGATTAATCCTTCAAAGAGAAGCAGGGCTGACAAGGACAACTTCGAAAGATATTAGAGAAAAGCTAGAATTTATTAATACTAGATGAAAGAATCAAGAGCCCACTAGGTTTATGAGGCGAATATTTGGGGTATTATCTTTAACGTACACTAGAAATTAACAATTTACAATATACCAGTCAATACCTACTTTCTCTTTCCATTTCTATGTAGTGCTATTCTACTACAATTCCCAGAGTGCAACGCTTCACTTCCGTCACCGTGAGTCTGCCGCACAGACTTCTGGGAGTTGAGGTCCAGGAGCTATTTACCCAAGTTAGAGATAAGGGCCTGAGGAAACATGAAAAGGTAAGCGCTTGTCTGAGTTGCAAGGGGAGCTTTGGTTTATCTTTTACTTTGAAAATGTCCTTTGTTACCTTGTGTTTGGGGTATGTCTCGTTCATGAGAGGCGGGTTCGCGTGAATGGGAAGACAAAGGGGTGGGAGGAGGGGAGGCTGGCTCGATGGGCCTGATGGGTGAAGTTTAGGAAGGATCTTGGAGGTTTTCCTAGGAATGCTTCCCTGGGGATTGAGAACGGAAGCTAAGAGGCAGAAGAGCTTTGGCTAACTCATTCCTAGCCCCAGAGATACCCTTGTCAGCTAACCTTCGTGGCCTACCCTGCCTCTCCCTAACTCTTTGAGACCAGCTTAGGGCGGGTGTATTTATTTGCTTTGTCTGATTCTTAAGGACTTGGTGTTGCCACGATGCACTGTAGTGTCTTAACATCTGAGAGTGAGAAAGTGTTTGTTTCCACAAATGTAGCACAAAGCCAGCTCCATGTGTTAAAGGAAAAGAAAAGCTTTGCTTAGGGCAGTTCCCCCTACTGGCTCAGCTGTAAATGGCTGCTGGAACCTGGATGGTCGGAAGTTGAGATCCAAAGCCTACTATTGACAGAACAGGAAGCTTTAAAAAGGATCCGCTTGAAGTTAATTTTGTATTCACTCCGTAGGGAAATCCTCACATTGGAACAATACAGTGCATCCAAAATGTTTACTGATGGTCCCTCGAGACTGCCTTCTTAGTTTCCTTTACCATTTTTTTTTTTTTTAGTTTCTGATTTTCTCTGCCTGAAAACCACTCACTTTTAATTATTTTATGACATTCTTTATACTTGAAAGGTGGCATATATAATGTATAGCTTAAAGAATAGTCATAAAGAGCCATGCCCTGTTTGACTTAAGAAGCAGGCCTTCATACATTCACACCCTAAAAGTCCTTGGCTCCTCCCTGTTTGTTTCTCTCCCTTATCGTCAATCTAGGATTTTGCATTAATTATTCCTTTTGCTTTTTTTTTTAATATTTTAATTTTATTTTATGTGTACTAGTATATTGCTTGCATGTGTGTAAGTGCACCCTGTGTTGTGCAGTGCCCGTGGAGGTCAGAAGAGAGTGTCAGATCCCCTGGAACTGGAGTTACAGATAATTGTTAGCCAGTATGTGGGTGCTAGGAATCGAACCCAGTCCTCTGGGAGAGCAGCCAGTGCTCTTAACCGCTGAGTCATCTCTCCAGCCCCTGGTTTTGTTTCTTAATAGATTTTTCGCATACAAATTTATCCGGAACAAACTATTCCTAGTTGCACCCATTCCCAACCTTATACAAGTGGGAGCATATTGTCTGTTTTTTTTTTTTCTGCAACTTGCTCTTTTTTTTGACGCCGTAGAGTCATGTGTGTTGGTATGTTTAGGTTTGGTTTATTCATTTAAAAACAATCATTATTTTTAGTAAGAACTTTTGGGATTTTTAATTGAGGGGCTTTAAAAGTTTTTTTTTTTTTAGTTAAAAGTATTCTTAGTTCTGAAATTATTTTAGAATTTTTCAATATAGGGCCAGGTCTGGAATGTGGGAAACATAATATTAAGGATATTTTTTGTAGCTTATTATAAACCCTAGTAGAAAGATCTACCTTGGGACTAGAAAGATGGTTCAATGGTTAAGAGCACTGGGCTACTGTTGGAGAAGACCCAGGTTCGAATCCCAGCACATATATGCTGGATAACAGCCATCTGTAACTCCAGTTACAGGTGATCCAAAGCTCTCTTCTGGCCTCCTCGGGCATGGCATGACATGGGTGCACTTACACACGTGCAGGCATACCACTTATACACATAAAATAAGAATAAAGAAATCAAAAAAATTTTTAAAAGAATGATCTGCCTTGTAAGGAATACCTGCAGTATTTATTTTTCTCACGGATTTATCTCATTTTTTGCTTGTTTTTTTTTCTAGTCTATTTTTGCATGCTTAAATTGTCCTGTTATTTCTTTGTACTCAAGACTCTTTAATGACTTATGGTTAACTCACAGTCATTATCCGGTTTTCTACGCAGTAGTGTCTAGGCTATAAGTTGTGATACTGTTCATATTTCTTCCCCTACTCACCCTTCAAAATCTCTTCTCTTGCCAGGCATGGTGGTGCAGGCAGGCTGATCTCTGTGAGTTCAAGGCCAGCCTGGTCTACATACTGATTTCCAGGCCAGCTGGGGCTACAAGGAGACTGTGTCTCAAAACAACCAAGCAAACAAACAATAAAAAACAAAAGAACAATCTCTTTTCTGATATCCCCAGATCTTGTCCACACAGATGATTTAAGATTTCTGTTTCAGCCTTAAACTGTCCTCCATGTAAACGTATCATCTTAGATAGTCAAGTTTGTTGCCACCTCAGACTCAGCATCTTGGAAGGGTGCTTCATGCCAGTGTTTTCAGTTAGAGTTGGTCAGCTCAGTGTGGCTATAACAGTACTGACTTTGCCAAGCATTTATTTCACCTGGAGCTGCTTCCATGGGTACCAACCTTCTCTCTGTTATGATTTGAAATTTGGGGTTTATTTTTTGCTTTCTTACCTTCATCCTTCAAGGGTCATATAACCCCTTCTTTGAATTTTTGCTATTACAGCACCAGTCTTGACTTTCATCATCTTCTACCTCAATGGTTTCTTAACTAGTTTTTCTGGTTCCTTCTAATCCATACGGCCTAAAGCACTACTTAGTCTGTGGCACCTAATTGCCTGATAAATTGTTTTCTAATACCAATCTGCTCAGGTCTAGTCTAGCCCCTTAGCCTGTTTAAGCCTAGTCAGATCCTAAATCTAAATAGAGCTTCCAGTTATCCCACAGAATGGATTTCTGTCTCTTCAGACCTGGTTTCCCACTTCTTTTTCTTTGTTACACCCAGCCTTTGAAACACCACTTTAGGAATACCTTTCGGAAGTCTTCCTTTACCGCTTTAGCCTTCAGTTAACTTTTCTTCTGCAAACTCTTACTTATTGGAGCATGTTTCTCTATCATTATTTATCCATATTCTGTCTTTCTCTAGACACATACACACAGCACAAGCTCATATACTTCTCCTTAAAGAGATTACATAAACTGCATCAGAAATATCTTTGATTTCCACCAGTACCTTGCACAATGCATTTTGTGTAAGTAGGCGTTTAGTAAGGATTTGTGTAATGAATAAACAAGGGCAGTGGAATGCAGAATGTCAAAACCGAGCTGATCTCAGATAAGTGATATAGATAAGGAATATATTCTCAGACTGTCTCTTTTTTACTTTCCCTGTTTGCTTGTATCTGCTGCAGAGTAAACAGCTGTGTGAAGAGCGACGAGCATGTCTTGGAGGAGCTGGAAACAGAAGGGGAGAGGCAGCTGAAGAGCCTCCTTCAACATCAGCTTGATACTTCTGTCTCCATTGAGGAGTATGTATTGATTTTGTAAATAGAGTGTAATAGACCCTTGAGGTTATACACCCCTCTTAAAGCTGGTTGGAACATTCCTCCCTTCCGAAACCACTTTCTTTGAAGACTTCTACATATGAGCCAGGTTTTGCTTTTGTGTCTGTTCCTCTGGGAAGCTTCTTATATCCCTCTAAACCTTGGCCAAGTGCTTTTCCTATGTCCTGCTATAGCACCCTGCATTTTCACTGCCTATTCAGTTGCCTGTCCTATTCAGAAAATTAGAGCCATTTTCTTTATTCTTTTAACTACTAAATCTCAGTTCAAAACACAGCATCTCATACATAGTAGGTACTCACTAAGTATTTCTTAATTTAGTCAGTCGTCAGTCCTGGATGTGAGGGCTGTTCTGGAATTCCATTTTGTTGCTGAGGAGCTTCAGCCTAGATGGAGAATGCTTAGAGAAACTTTGCCAATGAACTTCATTGAGCAGATGAAGTCTAATAGGAGGCCCCATTGCTGTGGATTGTCACTCCAAGATCTTACTCACTTCTTGCTTGATTTTCAGATGTGTCTCTAAGAAAGAGAGCTTTGCCCCTGGTACTATGTACAAGCCCTTTGGGAAGGAAGCAGCCGGGACGATGACTTTGTCCCAGTTCCAGACACTACATGAAAAAGACCAGGAAACTGCTTCTCTCAGGGAACTAGGGCTCAATGAAACAGAAATCTTGATCTGGAAAAGTCATGTGTCAGGTGAAAAGGTAAAGGCTGTGGGGTTTTTTGTTGTTTTATTTTGTTGTCTGAAGAATAAAGAGCAGGGTCTCCTTTGTGTTTCACCTCTAAGAACCTTTTAGCTTTTAATTCTCAGAAAACTAAGCTTGACTCTGAATCTCTTTTGGTTTTTAAGATCGAAGCATCGGCTATAGAGTAGCTGTTAATTAACCCCTTAGTGACATAAATACTTTCAGTTTCTGGGACCTTGTCATCTTTCTTGTTTGAGGCATCAGATTGAATTTTGTGGTGTGTCCTTTATGGTAAATCTTCCTGTTTCCCGGGTTTCAGAGGACAAGGGTGAAGGCAACTCCTGAAGCAATCCAGAATCGTCTTCAAGATATTGAAGAAAGGATCTCAGAACGTCAGCGCATCCTTTGCCTGCCACAGAGATTTTCAAAGAGCAAACAGCTGACCCGGCGGGAAATGGAAATTGAAAAGTCTTTATTTCAGGGAACCGACCGTCATTCCTTCCTTAAGGCCCTTTATTACCAAGGTATGGGATCCTCCCTGACTTTGATATGTTCTTGTACTTAGAGAAAGATTTAACATCAGGGCCTTAGATATGGGGATTTAGTAGAAAGACAAGGCGTTACTAATCTGGATGTATGTACACTTTCATGAGAGACACAAGTAAGTACGTGTATAGTTCCTTGCATGACAATGTGGAAACTGTTATTATAGGGAGCTTAATCACATGCCAAGGGAGCATAGAATATAGAGCATCGAAATCTAGTTGGGGGAGTCAGAAGTTGACATTTGCACAGTCCTGACGCATCAATAAACATCCGTTAGGGAAAGGGAGATACTAGCAAGCGGGTAGGCACTGTATGTGAAAGAAAATGGTTATAGGGAACTGAGAGAAGTTCAGGACAGCAGGGGAACATGTATGACACAGGAAATGGACATAAGACTAGACTGTGAGGCTTTAGACCAAACTGTAAAGTTGTACAGAGCACATATGAACAGCATGTGTCTTAACCAGAATTAGTTTAGTAGGTCCATTTGATTCACTATGGTTCAAGGTATTTAGAAATAGTTTAAGAAATGCTTCCTGGCCTTGTGCCAAGTACAGTGGGTGGGTTTGGAGAAGTACATGTGAAACATTTAGCAGGAATGCCAGATATAGTTGCTCAGTGCTGCAGAAATTCAGTTTCATTGACAGAAGTTTCAATGACTGAAGAAAGCCTCTCAGAAGAGGTAAGATTTAAATAATTTTTAATCCTGCCCATTAAACAGGAAAGGGAGTGGAATTTCAGTTGCAATAATTGGTATGAGCACCGTTAATTGGGAAGTTGTAAGGCATAAGTTTAAAAATAGAGCTAAGAATTTCGAACTCTTCTTTGTTTGATAATATAGAACTATCTGGAATTAGTTTTTTCAGTTAATGATTTTGAATATTCATTCAAGATGATATGATAAAAGCTGTATTTGAAAGTGATTAATGTGGCAGCCAATAAGGAGATTTAGAGAGAGGAAAGAAAATGACATTCAAGTTATTTAGCTATGAACATCTCGACTGGATGACGACAGTGCAATTGTAAAGAGAAATAGTTTTATCTATAAGTGATAGGACAAAGGACAAATCAATAAAACTTGTTGACTCAGAATGAAGGGGGAAGGTCAGTGGACAGGAATATGATGACGATAATTCAGGTAGTTCAACAATGTGTAACTGAGCAGTTGGCCAAATGAAGAAAGCCTTTATGGGGAAATTGTGAGGAAGGATGATGTGCTTCATTTTCAACATTGTTGAATTTGTAAAGCTGGCGGGATTAGCATATACAGATGTTGAGAAAGCAGAAATGAAGCAGTGAAGTACAGAGCAAAACCAGAACTAGCTACATACACTGGAGAATCATATCTGCTTAGATGATACCTTAAAGCCATGAGGATATAATAATGTTAGAGAGATAGACTGTACAAGTAACAGAACAGTGAGGAAGGGAGGGAGGGAAAGAAGGAGGGAGGGAAGGAGGGAGGGAAGGAGGGAGGGAAGGAAGGAGGGAAGGAAGGAGGGAAGGAAGGGTTTTTGTGGCAAGACTATGGCATGTTGAATATGAACATAGGCTCTGGAAACAGAATGCCTGAGAAAAACCTGGCTCCCCCAGCTGTGAGGGGTGGGGGTGGGGGGTGTATGAATCTGTTCTGTTTCCTATCTTTGAAACTCCTTGCTTTAAACCTTCACAGCATACCACAAAAAGACAAGTGCAGACAAGTACATGACCTCAATGAAGAGGAAGATAAAATTAGGCACAAAAGGCAAGTCGAGAGTTTTCTTTCAGTGCTAGATTTAGGACTGTAACCTAGGGTCCAAGACTTCTAAGTTAAACACTCATTTAATTCCAGTTTCACTATATGACAATGTTTATAGGAAATGATCCAGAGAACATATTATCCTGATATGAAATATTAAAGAAAGGAGTCAGTAGAAGTTGTAAATATTTTACATTTAGTTTTATTTTCATTGCTGTGTCTTTATTGTACCAAACATACATTGGCCTTGCTGAGTTTTAGATCCCATTTCATAGATAATTCTGAGTAGTATTAATCCATAAAGTATATTGTTGGTGATGATGATTATATAATAGCTAAGCTTTTATTTTGAAGTGAACTTACAATAAAATTGCATGGGACTTTCTTTGATGTACAATTCTGTGAATTGTAAACCATGTAGATTCATGTATCGACCAGCACAATCAAGAGAGAGTAGCTCCATCACTCAGACAAGCTCCCCTCATTCTCTCTCTCTGTAGTCACTCTATTGCTACCCCCACATTCCTGGCAATCACTGATCTCCATTACTTCAGATTTATCTTTTAGAGACTGTCATGTAAATGGAATCATGCAGTGTGTAACCTTGTGAGACTGGCTTCTTTCACTCAGCATAATGCTTTTAAAACTCATCCAAGGTGGTGTTTATATCAATAATTCATTCATTTGTGGAGTTCCATTTCATCGTATGACTAGTCCAAAGTTTATCCATTCACGTATTGAAGTGAATTTGGGTTTTGTCCAGGTTATCATCTTTATGAATGATATTGATATTAACATTCTTGTGCAGCTTTTTTTGTGTGAACATAAGTTTTTATTTCTCTAAGGTAAATATCTAGAAGTGGGATTACTGGGTCATATGGTAAGTGCACATTTAACTTTATATGACACGCCAAACCATTTTCTAGAGTGGCTGTACCATTTTGCATCCCCACCAACAATGTATGAGAGTTCCACTTGCTCTACATCTTTGTCAGCATTTGGTATTGTCAGTATTTATTGTGGTTGTCCTAGTAGGTGTGAAGTGGTACCTCCTTGTTTAATGTGCCTTTATTTAATGGCTAATGATGTTGAACATCTTTTCATGTGCTTATTTGCTATCGTTATATCCTGTTTGCTAAAGTTTCTGTTCAAGTCTTCTGCCATTTTATCATTGGATTGCTTTTCCTTCCTGATGACTTTTGAGATTTCTTTATATACTTTAAACATAGTCCTCCAACAGATATATGATTTACAAATATTTTCTCCCAGTCAAGTGCTTGCTTTTTCATTCTCTTAACAGTGTGTTTTCAATTGTGGTAAAATATACATAACAAAATTTACTATTTTAACCAATTTTAGGCTTTCACTTCTGTGGCATTAAGTATATTCACATTGTTCTGTACCTATTACCAACATCCAGCTCCAGAGCTTTTAAAGTTACTCACATTAAAAACTATTGTGTGTGTGTGCGCGTACGCACGCACACACACACACACACACACACACCCCTTCTGGCAACCGCCATTTCTTTTCTACTTTCTGTGAATTTGAACACTCTGTGTGCCTCATATAAATAGAATCGTGTAATATGTATCCTTTTGTGACTGGCTTATTTTACTTAGAATAAATGTCTTTGGGTGTTCATATTGTAGCATGTATCAGATTTTATTCCTTTTTCAGGTCGCACAATATTTCATTGTATATACATCCTACTCTGTTTAATCTGTTTAATCTAATCATTCAGTGATTCCAGTTTCTTCCGTGTTGTAGGTGTTGTGAGTAATGCTGCTGTGAACATTGGTGTACCAATATGTGTGCTATCTGCTTTCATTTCTTTATATGTATATCTAGAAGTGAAATTGCAAGGTCATAGAGTAATTCTGCATTTAGTTTTTGATGAACCATCCTACCATTTTCCTTAGAGACTGTGCCATTTTACATTCCTACCAGCAATGCAGGAAAGGTCTAGTTTTTCTACACTCTGAGCAACACATTATTTTCTGTTTTTTTTCTTCCTTTTTGATTATTGCCACCTTAACGAGTGTGATGTGGTATCTCATTCTAGTTTTGACTTGCATTTACCTAATAATTAGTGCTGTTGTGTAGCTTTTCATAAACTACTTGTCCATTTACATATCTTCCATAAAGAACTCTCCATTCAGGTACCTAGCTATTAATCATTTCTCAGATGTATGATTTGGAAATATTTTCTTCTATCCCATGGGTTGCTTTCTCATTCTTTTTTTTTAAAAAAAAATTGTTTTTATTGAATTTTTGTGTATTTCATACAGAACATCTCAGTCAATCTTAATCATCTTTATACCCCTAACCCCACTGGCAACCTCTCTGCACAAAGTTTTTTAGTTTTGATGAGGTCCAGTTTCTTTCATTTTTCTTCTGTTATCTATGTCTTTGTTAGCATATCAAAGAAATCATTGCAAAATCCAGTATCTTGAAGCTTTCCCTCTGTGTTATCTTCTGAGCTTTTATAGCTTTGGCTTGGTTGTTTAAGTCTTTGATCCATTTTGTGTTAAGTTTTGCATATAGCTTAAGGTAAAGATCAAGGTTCATATTTTGCTTGTTGCTATCCAGTTTTCCCAGTACCATTTGTTGAAAAGATTGTCCTTTTCACCCTGAATGATCTTAGTACTCTGCTAAAAGGTTATTTGGTCATATGGATGGGAGTTTAATTCTAGGCTGTTTACTAGTATGTATGTCTGTCTTTATGCTAGTAGCATGCTGTTTTAATTATTGTATCTTAGTAGTAAGTTTTGAAATCGGGAAGTAACAATCTGCAATAGTTTTGTTTTTATTTTTCATCATTGTCTTAGTTATTTGGATGGTCCTGGAGATTCCATGTGGATTTTAGGGTAGAATTTTCCCTTTCAGCAAAATTATATCATTGAAATTTTGATAGAGAGTGAACTGAATCTGTAGAGAGATTTGACTAGTATGGATATCTTAACTGTATTAAGTCTTGTAACCCAGGATCGTGGGTGCTTGTCTGTTATTTGTGTCTTCCCTGATTTCTTTCAGCTGCATTTTACAGTTTTTGGTGTATAAACCTTTTTCCTCGGAGCAAATGTTTTAAACTGTTACCTACTTTACCTTGTTTCTTGCATGGATCATATTATATGTTGTATGTGTAGACAGACATCTGTGAGAGAATCAAGAACTTTGCCTAAACCTGTTATTGTAAGACCTTTCTGGTGCTTTGTCATTTTACAGTTACATGCTTTATAGTTAGATCTGTATGACATGTAAGATATAGTTTGAGATTCACTTTTCTTGCCTATGAATGTTTGAGTGCCAACTGCTGAAAAGAATACCATTCCCCCATTTACTTGTCTTCATAGTTTTCATAAGTCATTAGCTTATTTTAAAATATTTTGTTATCTTTATTTTATGTGTATGAGTATCTTGCCTGCATGTATGTAAGTGCACCAGTGTTGTGCAGTGCCCACAGAGGTCAGAAGAGGGCATTGGACCCCCTGGAACTGGAGTTACGGACAGTTGTTAGCCACCATGTGGCTGGTGGGAACTGAACCTGGATCCTACACAAGAGCAGCCAGTACTCTTAACCCCTCGGGCCTCTCTCCAGCTCTATTTGCCTATTTTTGTATGTTAATACTTAATATCATAATAATAAAAGATTGAAATTTTGCCTCCAAAAGAAAAGAAGGCAAGAGTATCCACTCCCACTACTAAATAAAGTGGAGTAAAATTAGAAATTACTGCAAAAGACCTCAAAAATTTACAAATGTGCAAAAATTAAAAACATTCTGCCAAATAATTATTGGATCAAACAGAGGCATTAGCAAATATTTTGAAGTGTATGAAAGCAAATTACAACATGTGATAATTTATGGGATATACTCAAAACAGTGGAGGGATGGTCAAAGCTATAAACAACCATGTTAATAAGGATCTCAAATTAATTGAAAGTTGAAGCCAGTGAGATGGCTAGGCAGGTAAAAATGCTTGCCAAGAAGCCAGATAACCTGAATTTGATCCCCAGAACCCATGTAAAAGGAGAGAACTTACTCCACAAACTGATCCTCTAGCCTCTACATATGTGTTTTAGTGTGCACACACATACACTGATAAATAGAAAAAAAATGACTGAAACTTTCATCTTATGAAACTATAAAAAGAAAAGTTAACTAAACCCAAATCAAGATGAAAATGGCCATAATAATTATTAACGCCATAGTAAATGGAATAGAGAATACCAACAGAAACAGAATAGAAAACCAAACCAGTTTCTCAAATATATGCATGAAATTTAAAATCCATTAGTTAAACTCAGTTTGGAGAGAGAAAATTGAAATTTCTAAAACCAAATTCTACTTTGGCTCATATTTACATGAGACATCTTTTTTCATCTTTTTAGTTTTGGTATATTTGTGTTTTTACGCTAATCTTTTATAGGTAGCAAATAGTTGGATCTTTTTTCATTTTTAAAATAAGTATTTTACTTATTATTTTCATTTTACAAATATAAATGTTTTACCTGCATGTATGAAAGTGCACGCATGTCATGCAGTGCTCACAAAAGTCAGAGAGGGTACCAGATACCAGATCCCCTGGAATTGGAATTAAGGATGGTTGTTAGCCACCACGTGGGTGCTGGAACTGAACCCAGGTCTTCTGCAAGAACAGCCAGTGCTCTTAACCACTGAGCCATCTCTCCAGCCCCAATGTTTACCATTTTTTAAAAATCAGGTCTTCCAGCATGCTGTTTAGATTGGGGATTTTAGTTTGTTTATTTTAGTGTATTAGATTCTGTTGATAAGATAGGATTTACATCTGTCTTTGTTTTATTCCTTCATTCAGTCTTCAGTTAGGTAATTTTTTTCCAGTATGTCATCTTAGTTAACTCGCCTCTCACTTGTCTTTCTGCCTCTCTGACCCCCCGTCTCTGTCTCTCTGTCTCTCTGTGTCTATGTCTCTGTCTCTCTCTGTCTCTGTCTCACTGTCTCTCTGTCTCACTGTCTCTCTCTCTC